CAGTATTCCGTTTGATTTAGATCCATTATGCTATATAATTGGTTGTTTGTAATAACCTTTCATATAAAAATATTCACAAAATTATTAACTATAGTTTATAACTGTATAATTTTTAATTACATAATTTAACTATGAATGTTTTGTACTTATTACTGTTATTTCTACACCAACAAAGTAAGCAGATAATACGCTTATTTAATATTCAGTACAGAAAAATTATTGACATTAAAATTATTCATTACAAGCGATTTTATATGAAAAAGTAAAAGAAAACAATTCAAGTTTTGACGCAATTCGTCAATCTTCGTTTGTACAATTGAAGTGTAACTTTTTTATAATAATTTTATAGCGGTAGACAGAATCGGCCATCATTAAGTAAAGATTTTGTTCCTTAACATTATAGTAGGGTCTGTGAAAGAAGTTATATAATGTAACTTTGCGTCCATAATAGTATTTAAAGCTTATGTCGTTTAAAGCCGATTTAATATAAAGATCCGCATATTGTATCTGATAGACACAATACAGCTTATCGTATGCAACGAACGTATTCCATACATAACAATTTTTCAAAAGAAAATTTTGTTTTGACAAAACTTTTAAATTATCGTAATCCATTTTATACGCCACGAAGTAATTGTCGTAAAGCGGACCCGAACCTTTTGTCTCATTTAGAGAGTCAAATATCCAGAAATAGTCGACATCTTGAAGTAAAAATACGGGCCATCTTTGCTGAACAAAATGGACTTTTTCTCCAAAAGTCACGTTTCCTGTTTCAATGTTATACTTGCCAATTCTCGGTCCTGACTCATCTTTATATGGAGAATAAAAATATCCATCTCGTTCGAAATATCCATCAAGATACATTTTATCAGGATGTTGGAACTCTCTCAGTATTATCACTTCTTCTTTTAGATTTGTTCGGACTATTTTTATAGGATTTTTATACCATTCTTGCGTAATAATCCTAAAATTGTTTTCTGGACCCTCTTCAATATTTGCGACTAATAAATTCTTATGTGTTTTCATAGCATCCGCGTTCTTAAATTCCCTATAATAAAATTTCTTATAATCTGAAATATTTCGGAGAATGCATTCTGAAAAGAAAAAAACGTCGATTTAATATTTACATTTATTTATATTTAATTAAAAATAAATTTCGCATTTATTCAAAATTATTGAAATGTAAATGTTTCGATCACCATTTAATACGCTACAATTCATTTTCAGTTAAAATAGAACATAATAAAACACAAAATAATTGAAAAATCTGTGTTGTATTTGAACCTGATATTTCGAATCTGAAAATTCAAATATTCGTTTATTTTGGATTTTATGTTTTTGGTTTATCCGAAAGGCAAAAATGATTGAAATGTTTCGTAAATTAATTGTTAAAGTGTATACTAGATGTACCACTATTTATTTCCCTTCTTCATTATTTACACTTCATACTCATTAAAACTAACTCGCTCCTCCTCTTCCCTTGGGGGGTTATTTTAGTACAAGTTTATCTATAATCTATGATATTTCCATATAAGCCTAAATAATTATATTTTAGCTCATTTGAGACACAGTACGGTAAGGAGCGGGATTCGGCCTGCGGGCCTTACTTTGATGATCCCTGATCTAAACCCTTCACTTTTTTGCCCATCAGATAAAAAAATTTTTCATTGTAAAACATGAATGCGTAAACACAAACTCTACTATTTCTATCTGAACAAATTATTGTTAAAGCACAAAACACAATTACTAAACAAATTGACTCTGGGTTGTACAAAATCTTATAGAAAGTTCAATAAATTGTAAATTTTATTAAACAAACAATTAAGAAATTGTACAACGTTAATTTCAATTATGAATATAATATAAAGTGAGCCACAAAATTTTTTTACCATTAACTTCTTGTTGCTTTTCGCCTCCAAAATTGTCTCTTTGTTCGTCTGTTTAAATAAATGTTAATATATTAATATCATTGCCTTAGATTTCCAGACAATTCTATACACAAAACATATATATAATGAAAGAAATACCTTCTGATTTTTCTTTGTTCCTTCGACAAAAGTCATCGGCGTTAAAACAATATTCCAACAAATCAGATTTCTACATAAACAACAAACAAAACAAAATTTAAATAGAAAAATAAGGCATTGTTCTTAATGCAGTATCAATTTGTAATTTTTATAAATTATTTTAAGTAATTAATTGCTAATTATTTCAGATCATAGATTTTTTATTCAGCTCTTACTTTGACATTCCACTTTCCCTTCATTACTATTGTATCGTTATTTTCTTCAGATGAGTCTTCTGTCAGAGGACAATCTCCTTCGCATTCTTTTTCGGTTACGGACGAAAATTTCCCTTTTCTTCACTCGGTGAGAAGCAGTGTTCGGATCCTTGTTGGCATTGCCATCTGTTGTTTTCTCAGACTTCATATTGCAGTCAGATTGTTTATAATACATACTTATAAACAGTTGTGCGAAGAAGAGCAAGAATAACAGCAGTATCAGAAAGTAAATTATTCTTATTTGAATTTTATATGCGTTTTCTTTAATATTCTTCATAATGCTATTGTTATTAAATATAAAAATTTAATTATTAAATAACTTTCTGCAAAATTGAAATATTATGAGCTTTATAATAGAAAAAAAATGTATATAATTGAAATATATTGGTGCGTCATTGTTTGAGTTTTCAAATTTAATTTATTTCAGCAGGATTTTTGATGTTTGAAGTGATTTTCCTCTTATAAATATCGGAAAGTCAATTAATCTATTCTCTTACACTAAACCATACATGTCGAGCCCCGGCCCTCACTACCTGGTCATCCTTTTGTGAGTATGTTCGAACCCATAATGGGCTTAGTAAAAATGGCCCTCTTAATGCCCACGAAAAAAGGAAAAAGTTAAAAATAAACCCTAAACGATATTATTTTAGATATACTTAGAACAGCAAGTACACGTAACTTAAAGTAAGAAGAAAGGAAGAAAATGCTCTAGTAACAATTTAAAAGACGAATGCAATAAATAAAATACATGGATCTGGTATAATAAAATGGAAATTGCCTGAATAAGCAATGGTTATATTGTGTTCAATTAAACTGTTTTCCGTATTATTAACAGCTGTCGTTACTTAACATAGATGTATGATTTAATTATTGCATTCAATTATAAACGAAACAATGACACACTATTGCAACTTTGAGATTGTCTTCTTTGATCAAAAAAAGCATTTTAATGTTTAATGTTATTATATTGTTAGAATTCGACGAATAACACGAAATATAACGGATATAAACGAACACACCAAAAATAAAGCGATTAAACAACACAAAACGTACGAACGTAACCTGCAAGGGAGGGACGAATTACACGTAGCCTATACACTTATCGTGCATTTTTCACTGCGTGCGCCGATCGAAGTTTTTTAGAGAGGTTTGCGTGTAAGGGGAGGGTGTCGACGCTATTAACTTTAAATGGCTAAAAGTCGAGAGGGTGGGGAGATAAAGAGTGTCGTGTTATATCTCGAGAACGGTCAGGCATTAATTACGATTTCACCCGTTATTAATATTCAAAATTTTTTTATAAAACCCACTTTTACCCTGAAAGTTAAGTTATTTTGCCATTTTATGATTAAAAATATGGAAGTTCATTTTAATCAAATATCGTAACAATTGGCGCCAGCAAATCTCGCCGGGAAAATTAAGCCAATAGTTGTTCGACTTTTAATAATGATTTTATAAAGTTACAATAAAATAAATGATAAATTTAAAATACATCTCGAGATGTTCACACGAAAACATTATTTGAATGAACGTTATTATATAAATTATTTCACTAATTAAAGTAAATATTAGTAATTTATCAGATTATTAAAGAAATGATCACGAAAACACTGGAGTTTCCTTGTTTGTTAAAACGATGCGAACAACTCCAAATTTGCTTTAATTGCCAAATTTGCTGTATTGCTTTAAAATTTACTTCTGCTTTAATTTCTGTACATTAAAATTAGAAATATTAAACACAGGCGCAAATTTTACTTATAAAATTTAATCTAGAACTAAATTTAAATTTAGAATTGTAATTTTTTTATGACAAGAAAGTTGCACGAACTCGGAAAATAGTCTTTTTTTTTATAAAATTCGAGTAAATTCCTCTTTAAAAAAACAAATATTACTTACCGAGTGATTTCTAGTTTGGTCTTCGACACTTTAACTTCGATATTTAATTGACTTAAACATGAATTTCCGTTCGTTTAATATTTTTGATAAAGACTTCCTGTGACGTGATTTATTTAATTACAGCTTGCTGATACTCTAAATTAGCTGATAATAGTTATTAAAATAATGTTTAAAATATCAGAAAGAGATTTATTTAATTTATTAAATTTAAAAACAACAAACATTAATATTAAAATTTGTAGTATTTTCGTTGGAATATTTATTCAAATTATTATAAAATTAATAAGTAAAATATAAAACGAAAATCTATTTTGTAGTTTATAATATAGAGGAGACTGTTCATTATGTTTAAAACCATGTTTTAGTAAAAAGAATTTATTCAGTAAATTAACTATAAATCAACAATGTCAATTTTGTGCGTATAATTCTTTCTAATTTTTGTATAAATTTGATAATTAATTACGGAAACAAGTTTTATCACGAATAGAAGTCGTTAATGATTATCCGGATAGAAACGTATTTATAGTTAATTACTTTATCCGGCCTCAGTCGAGGATGTCGATAAAGTGAAAGAAAAAAACAATAATTCTTACAAGAAATTTATTAATAATTAAATATTATAAATTATTCTGACAAATTGTTATATTTACTTAATATATAAAATGACACGAATAAATCGTAAAATACATTTATCTGCTTTAAAGAAATAGCATTTACTCGGTTCCATCTGATTGGTTAGCTGATAATTGGTTAACTGATAACAAAGCGGAGCTTTGTTATCAGTTATAACAGTATAACAAAGCGGAGCTTTGTTATCAGTTAACCAATTAGATGGAATGGACTGCGCTAGCGAGAGTCCATTCTATCCGTTGTATGAAAGAGACCCAACGTGTTCAGTTGAATTAGTTACCAGACTTGCGACAATCTTTTACCACGTAGAAGCAACTTTACCCCAGAATTACGACAGCGAATGATCAACACTCATCACGCCGCAGAAACAAGGCAAGAAAGACACCGATAACAGAACAAACTGCCAAATTATCGGGTAGGAGACGGAGTTTTTGTAAGAGAAGTAGTCGTCTCGCAGAGAATAAAACTAAAATTAGCACTTCGATAGTCAGGAATGTATCGTATAACAGAAGTACCAAGTCTCGTTAATTATCAAATATAAAGTCTTAACATAAAAAAGAAGTTACGCGTTCAAGTAGACCGAATAAAACCCGCAATCGCTAAAAATGAGTTTGAACTTGGCAACGAAATAACGGTAGACCAAAAAGATGTATTACGGGGAGACAATAGACCCTTGGGACAAATTTATCTTCACTTCTATAACCACTCCTCAATTGGAAGAACAACCAGAACAGGAAAACAATGTGGAAAGTGATATGGAAATAGAAACTGATAGCTGGAATAAAACCTGTCTATGGCGGACAACTTGTTGTGACGGACAACAACCTGGATTGGCGGACACTAACCTTTTTTTAAATGGGGTCTTCACCTGATAATTCTTTGCAGGAGAAAGGGACTCGCGATTTGACAATTTTGCAAGGCCTCAAGAATTTGAAGCCTCGTACTTAGAGGGTCAACTTTACTATATTTGCTAAATTTAATCCTCCCCGTTTTTTCGCTGAGATTACTAAAACTAAGACAGGTTAGATAAAATGATTTTTATGATAGACTCTTCTCTTCTTAATTGATTTGTCTCATGCAATTTATTGTGTAAACTTCTACACTGCTCACCTGAGATTCGTCACAAAAATAAACGCCAATTTCCTATTGCTTTTTTCCTGATTGCTGGTTGTAAGGACCGAACCCAACGGAGTCAGCGCCTTACAAATTATATCTGCACTTTTCAAGTCGTGTACATTTTGAAGATCGGCTGTGTAACAAGGTTGTCGATTGTTTCTTTACTAATGTAAGTTTGCCGACGTTGAGGGGGAAAAAGTCTATCTCACGTCAGAATGAGCCGAAAGGAGGATGCACACGCGGCGCGGCAAGGAAAAGCGGTGTCGCAAACGCGTCTTCGCCGCGCGGCAGCACGACCACACAAGCGGCAAACGCAAATCTCTCTACATTTCGGCGCAAGCGCAAAATATTCAAGATGGCGGGTGATTCTAATTCTGCTGCTCTTCTTATGTTTACAAATTTCGTTTTGTATACTTCACTTTATGTCTCTAGAAGACGTCGACAAAGAAGATTTGACCGGAGATTTTGGATCAGAGAGATTTTCTTAGATCGAGAGAGAACTGGTGTACAAAATGCACTTATTCCTCGTCTAAGATCTTTCGACAAAGAATATTACTTCGAGTAAGATTAGTTTGTTTTTACTTTTGACTTAAATTATATATGATTGCTTGTGTTAAATTTATTATTTTGTTATAGTTTCCTCAGGATGTCTCCCGAAAAGTTTGACGAACTATTAAATAAACTTGGACCGAAGATAACTAGGCAAAATACCAGATGGAGAGACGCAATACCTGCGAGTGATAGACTTGCTGTAACATTGAGGTAAATGTAGCAAACAAAATGGCAGTTAATGTCGAATATAAAAATATTTACTTACAATAAGTCAAGTTAGTAAATTAATATTATCTTTGTGGTGTTAGTTGAGACACTATAAAATTTATATATAACAAACATAAATTCTAATTGCAATAATATATATATATATATATATACACACAGTAGGCTATATATAAGTTTTGATTTCAAACATCTTTGAAATAAAAGAAACATTTTCTATATTTTTTATTTATACTTGACTAATATAAAAATGCATTTTGCATATTTGTGTTTATTGTAATTGCTTATTTTTATCTATCATTTTTATATACTGTTTGTTTACATGATAGAGTACTTAATATTTTAAAACTTATTTTATTACAGATATTTGGCATCAGGAGAAACGTTTCGAAGCCTTTCCTATTCCTTTAGAATGGGAAGATCAACTGTGGGAAAAATTGTAAAAGAAACTTGCACGGGTATTTGGGAAGAATTATCTAAAGATTTTGTACATTTTCCCACAACTCCAGAAGAATGGATAAATATTGCTTCTGGTTTTGAACAGAAATGGCAATTTCCCCATTGCTTAGGTGCAATTGACGGGAAACATGTTATTATAGAATGCCCGTTTAACACAGGAAGCTTAAACTTTAATTATAAAAATAGCTTTAGTAAAGTTTTATTAGCAGCCTGTGATGCACACTATCGGTTTATCTTTGTGGACATCGGAAGCTATGGTAGTGAGAGTGATGGGGGAATTTTTTCTAGGTCAAGATTTGGCCAAGGTTTATGCCAAAATGAATTTCACTTACCAGAGCCTATGAGATTGTCAAATGGTGTTGAACTTCCTTACTTTTTTGTGGGTGATGAAGCCTTTCCATTAACAACATACCTTATGAGGCCTTACCCACGAAAAAATAAAAATTTAATGTGGAAACAGAAAATTTTTAATTACCGTCTTTCTAGAGCCAGACGAGTGATTGAAAATTCGTTTGGAATTTTAAGTAGTAGATGGAGAATTTATAGGCGACCAATTAAATTAAGTGAGGAGAACATTGACAATGTTATAAAAGCGACAGTATGCTTGCATAATTATTTGCTGACAGGACCAACCAGAAATGAATATTGTCCTGTTGGATTAACCGATGCAGAAGATTGGCAAGGTAGAGTTGTATCAGGCCAATGGAGAAGTGAAAATGAAGGAAGTAATGGGCTTGGTAAGATCAATAGACTTGGTGCAAACCATTACTCTCAAAAGTCAAATGACATTAGAAAATATTTAACAGAATATTTTGTAAATGATGGAGCACTGCCCTGGCAGAATACTGTCATAAATTAAATTTTCTGTTATAAAAAGTATATTCATTTTAAATAAAATTTTTAATGATATTTGCAAAAGTGAGTTGTTTTTGAATATTGTAGATTTTGATTTTCATATAAGATATTTGCTATATAGAAATTTTAAGATTATATATCTAAATAATTTTGCATTTTATAACTGCAAATAGGATGTTATCTGTAATAATTATATATAGATTCCATTAACTACTTTATAAATAAAATTTGACCGATCGTTACAACCAATCAAAAATGATATGATATGATATCATAGACTGTATACAAGCTTTATATATTTTATCAACTGTCATTCTATTGAAAAACATACAACAACAAAGTGAACTTAGAAAACATACTTTTTATTTAAACAATTTTAATACTAATATAATACAATATAAAATTAAAGTTTCATTTCTTCTTCAAAAACAAGATTTTCAATTTTGTTCATTATCGAAAGCATTTTTTTCCTATCAAATTTTCTTAATCTCACACCAATATTGTTGATGAAATAAAATACTTCATCGTGGTTACTTTCATTCTCTTCAATATATTTTTTTATGCCACTAGAAGTTTCTTTTATGATCTCTGCAAGATCATCATCATCATCATTTCTTTTTCTTTTCCTAAATTATGAAATAAAAACGAACATTTTCGAGAATATCTCAAATATTAAAAAAATTAAAAAATTACAATTATGGAACTATATGTGTATAACCTTTGAGAGGACTGAAGTGGACTATGTACAAATGGTAGTGGCAATACATTTGTACTTGTGCTTGGTCCTGTTAATTCAGGCATGCTAAAAATATTAAATATATGTAATTTATTAATAATATATTTAAGGACATAGTGAAATAACACTTTGATTAGGTTTGTAATCTTTACAACTTATATATAATATAAAAATACCTATTCTTTGTGAGAAATTCTGGTAATTGATTGATTGATTCGTCTTCCAAATCAGAATTCTAAAATAAAAATTAGAAAAATTACATACACATGAATTAAAATTCAATCAGATATTAGTAACCTGAAAATTGTATTAAGTGAGACGTTTAGCATACATTTTTTATTTTTTTAGCTACAATTACATGTAAACATTTGATCACCGCAGCTTATTCAATATCATTATGATGTGTACAATTTATAAAGAATCATATGCATTGTCTTTAAGTTGTTGGAATTGTCTTTGTACTATTGACAAACAAAAAGAACTTCTACATCATTTTATCAGCAACTTAACCTCAAGCTAGAAATCTCAGTATTTCTTATAATTTAGCTTTTATGTGGACAAAAGACACTAAAGTTAAAAAATATATATATTCATAATACATTACCATTAATTCACATTCTGATTGAGGCATGATTTCTGGTATATTCGTGCACGTGCTACAAGATGAACAATATTTAGTTTTAATGAAAACAAAATATATTAAAATGGTGTTAACTTGTTAATACTTTCTTACTTTATGTCTTCATTTCTCAATCCGCCTCTTAGCATATTATCTAATAAGTCGAAATACTTCCAATTTGTTTTGTAAATTTCTGAAGTAGCTGCACCACTTCNGCTGGCCACATGGATTTTTCCGGGTTTTCTTCACCTAAATAGGGTCCAGCTTCCCAGTCTTTCCGGAATGCATCTCCCCGGCAGGTCGCTCACGTGTCGCGTTGCGTAACCAAATAAACTAAACTAATTCTAACGAGCGATTATTTATTGTAACATCATCACAATGCCGGACTTCTATTCCTCACAATGTTTTCAATTGTTTAGTGGTGGTTTGCCCCTGTACATCATACTTTTCCTGTTAGCAATAGAGTGGTGCCGGTCATCTATTAACTCTGTTCGGGAGAATTTTGAATCCAAGTAACGTGACATCTATTCCAAACCTGAAGTTCCTATATATCGTAGTTAATCTGGGCCTCCTGCCCCTAAGCTTTCTACATCTGGTTTCGACTTTCATCTACCTAACTTTTTTTTTTAATCGAGATTAAGGAAGAACAGTCATATAGAGGGATAACAGTCGAAATTTATATGTCTAGAATTTTTTCAAATTGCAGTTCAATAATTTTTCTATAAACACGATATTTACGAGAAAATACTTCTCACATAGTTTATACAATCTGTTGCAAAAATATAAACACTTTATTGTAACATAAAATACTTAATTAATACCCAGCTAGATGCTTTTTAACCCAAGAAAAAACACCTTATCTCACCGAGAATTATGTAGTAATTGTAACGAACGTTTTCAACCTGTTCTATAGGCCATCTTCAGGTATTTAATAATCACGGAATATTGATAACTTTTTTTGTATAGAACAGTTAAAAACACATTTAAAATACAAAATTCTTTGGAATTACTGTAATTTATTCTTTGGATTCAAATAGCTCAATATTCCAAAGAATTGTATATATATATATATATATATACATATTTACATATACATATACAATTTAAAATAAGAAAATAATAAAATAGAAAAAAAGTTAGTTAAAGGTTGAAAACGTTCGTTACGGTTAATAAATAAATTTCAGTGAGATAAGGTGATTTTGCGTTATATAACATAGAAGCAATTATTCTCACAGTTTTACAAGATTTTTTTTATTTAAACAAGTCATACGAAGTCTTTCGAACATTAAGGTTAGCAACTTCGATCACAAGCGGATCCATCATAACCCGTCTAACACGGATCACTTTTCAAATACTAATAGTAGACCAGTATTAATTAGCAGTAAGTTCAACGACTACTTTCGCCCGAATTACTTCGACCCCTTTCGCAACTGTCCTTTCTTGCTATCGGACAAGCGGTATAGTGGCATTGGAATTACAAAATCCAAAATACGAGGTTACTGGGCTGCACAAAATGTTTTAAGTGGTTTTCGAGGTGCCCAGTTTAAATATTTTGTCCGTTTTTCGCGAAATTTGATTCGTTGTCAGATGACCGTTTGATATTCGGCTGTGAATGGAACAGTTTCTTAGAGGTAACGTTAGAAAAAATTTAAGATACCACATTTTCAATTGGTGTCTACTTGATCAATGAAATTGTGCCATTTCGTATCGTTCGAGTATCGTGGTAAACGTGACTATGGTGAACTAAAAAACCAACCTCTTTATATGGTTTTTGTTTTAATATTTATTATATTATATAAGGGTTTATCGCACCGAGTGATCAGTCTAATATATTTTTAAAATAATTTATTCCTGTACTACACAATTTAAAAAATTTTTAAAATGCGTGACATTAGGCTCCTGTGTTTAAAACCCTTACGTAAGATAACATTGGTAGTTATATAAATCAAATATTGTAATATAATATAATAGAAGGGTTAGAAGTACAAAAGAATCTAATAATCTTAATGTTTGTTGTTATTTTTTATCCGAGCAACGCCTGGCTTATCTGCTAGTTACTTATATACTGTATCCCTAAACCTTTTCATTGTAATAATATTCTACGTATGTCAAATAAAGTATAATTGTATTAAATATATTTAAAAAGAAATTAAAAGCTTATTGTTAATAAGCAAAATTATTTTGTCAATTTTATGCTAAACTTTACACACTGAGGAGTGTAGGGTCCGACTCCACATTATCCGATAATGCAACCGAAACGAAAAACCGAAACCGAAAATGATCTCAAGTTCTCCCCCCCGCTTTCAGTTCGAAAATGCGATACCAAAGTCAAAGCTACCAAAATATCTTCCATTTTGGAAAAATCATCTTCGAATAGTTCTGTCATAATTTTCAAATTATAAAAAATATCCAAAGAAAAAAATCGAAGAACAAAAGATTATAATATTTCTGAAAAATGTTATTTTAGAAATTTTCAAAAAATTTATCACATTTACAGGTAAGGTTGTACTGTACTTTCCACATTTAATAAGGATCTATAAAATGTCTTCTACGGTGTAATGTTTAAGCAGGATGGAAATCCGATCGCTGGTTATTTAATCATTTCCTCCACAACAAAACACAGTTTATAGGAATTAATGTTTAAGACTAAAAGCTGCGATCGCAAGATTTAATTTTTAATGCCAAATTTAATAAAATTTTGAAAAACAATATTAAAATTTTGCTGGGAGAACAACGACAATGTTTGGCTTTAGATCATCGGATTTCGAGGGAGAAACAAATCTATAGCGCTCAGAAGATCTCGAAATTTTTGCACTCCGTCGGAGATTTCGGTCGGGACCACTTCCGACCGAAAAACTTCTTTGGTTTCTTCATCCTGAAGAGAGTTAACATCCGAAAATTTATCGACCAGTTTGTTCAAGGAGGTTTCAAGATGCTTTGCCCGGTTTCTGACGTTATCGTACGACTCCGGGTTTTGATTATCCGGGTTGGTCGTTCGCAGTAATTCGATCACTAGCGATCCCACTTCCTCGATCACTCGAAAGACATCGTCCGAACACTGTCGCAGCATCTCCAATTCTCTGTCCACACCACAGAGAGGCGTTTCTCCCCCTCTATCACTTTTTTGCCAATTGTCGCTGAGCCAGTTAGGATCCAATTTTTTCTCCTTTGATTTCTCTTCTTCTCCCGACATTTTTCTTATTCGAGGAATTGCTAAACAGATTTATAACAAAACGACAATAACAATCACCTTCCAATCGCGACAATGTATACGATTGTTTCCGTTCCAATTTCATTGTTGTGTTCGTAATTTATGTATTTCGTATTTAAAATCGTAGATTGTAATTTGGATATCCGTGTTTAAAAACGTTAGGAGTGTGAAAATATAACCAATTTTTCTTCAAAATGGCATCATCTGTTTTATTCGTATCTTCTCTTCATTCCCGCTCGCCCCACGCTTACAAAGTCCAAATTACTGCTATTTTTAACAATTTTACTTACTCTATCGATTTTTAAAAAAGTACTTTGACAAAAATTTCAACAATCGATCCGAATTTATAAGCGAAAATATTAATGACGATCCTTTGTAGAATGCTTTATCACGTTTATCGGTCATCGTTTATTGCGGCTTCGTTTCATAAATTATCAAAATATTTTCATAAATCTTCGTAACGCTAGTTTTAGAAAATAGAAAAATAATAGAACGAGCAAGAATTCGTGTCTACGCAAACATTGTTCGTCGATAACATCGAAAATATGGCGAATGTCCGCTTATTATAATTCTTAAGAAGCGTCGTGAATTTTTATTTATGATTTACGTAGAAACACAAAATATTGGCAATGCCGTAACTCTTATTTCATTTCAATGGTAATCTAACAATTTAATTTTCATTATTATAACTTGTAAAACAATACATACATACAATAATCTTCCATACCATTTGCACTTTGCTCTTCCTGTTTAGTGTTCTTTCCGTTTTCTATCCCATCGCGATGTCTTTCCCGTTACGTT